GGCGGCCGGGAGCCGATGGTGGTGCGCAGCGGGCGCGCACGGTACTGTACTGGCCCCCTGGACGCGGGGTGCCGCTCTGGCCTGATGCCCACGTGTTCTTCTCTAAGGCTGCTGTGGCACAGTGACGCTTCATTTATTCAAGCGTTTCTCCATCAATGTATGGTGAGCACCGACTCTGTGCCAGGTACGGGACCACGCACCTGGAAAAGGAGACCAATGATGCACCCTAGCTGCCCATTAGAGGAGCTGGACATCTAATCCCAAAATGACAGCAAAGGAGGGGGCATAGGAGCACAGCAGAGGGCATTTAACTTGGGGGCAGTGGGCACCGCGGAGAACTTCCTGGAGTCGGTTACGTCTGTGTTGAGCTTTGAACGGCTTGGGAGGAAAGGATGAAGAAAACATGGCAAAGAGTCCTGGCATTTTTGCGGAACTACAAGTACTTGGGTTCAATATTGATGGTAGAAAGGGACCAAATAATCGAAGGCCTCGTGTAGTAGATCAAAGGCTTCCAGCTGAATCCTAACAGCCATGGAAAGCCATTGGTAGGTTTTAGTGCAGTGACATGGTCGATTTTTGCGTTTAAGGTCAAGTCTGGTAGAAGACTGAAGATTGGAAAGAGATGAGGCTAGGGTGACAGTTGGGAAACTTTGGTAGTATTCCAAGTTAAACAAAAATAATAACAAGAGCCAGAATTGCGATGGAAAGATGATAGATTTGGGAGACTTTTGGCAAGAGAATCAAGATTTGATGCTAAACTGGGAGTCGGGAGTGAGAAGGAGAGAGGAATTCATGATGTCTTCCATCTGTCTCATTTGATGACCAGGTGAATGATGAATCCATTCAACAAGACAAGGAACCCAGCAGAAGAGAATCAAGTCCAGCATTTGTTTTTGGTTTGTGTGTTTTTTTTCCGAAGGGGTGGGGAGAGAATGACAAGTTCCATTTAAATATGTTAAGCTTTAGGGATTTGTGAAACATCCAAAAGATACCAGTAGATAGTTGGATATACAGATCTGAACTCAGAAGAGAGACCTAGGCTGGAGGTATCAACAGAAAGTCACGACAAATAAATGAAAGCTGTGGGCGTAGATGAGTTAGCTTACAGACAGAGACCGCCAAGTGAGAAGATGGTGAAAGACGATCTCTTGTATTAGACTGTAGACTGTGAGCCATTGGCAAGCAGGGCAGGTGGTGAGTCTGTGTCCTCGCAAGCTAGAATAGGGATTTTGGAGAGGGCTGGATAAAAGGCCTCTCCCATTCTCCCCCACCTAATGGTGTGTTTGGTTTCAGCTTCTTTGGCTCTCTGATAGTCAGGGATCATGCGAGCAGCCTATGGACAATGGCACCTAGTTTTACTGGAGGAAGGGGATAAGATCCCTTTTGAATTCCCTTGCCCCCTTATTAATTCCCCATATATCTCAAAAAAAAATTTTATATATCTTTATTGATTTCAGAGAGGAAGGGCGAGGGAGAGAGAGATAGAAATATCAATGATGACAGAGACTCATTCATCGGCTTCCTCCTGCACGTCCCCTACTGAGGATCAAGCCCACAACCCAGGCATGTGCCCTCGACCGGAATCGAACCTGGGACCCTTCAGTCTGCAGGCTGATGCTCTATCCACTGAGCCAAACCGGCTAGGGCAGTATCTCAAATTTTAACCTCAAATTCGCTCAATTTAACCTCAGAAAACCCCAATTTAATTCAAGTCCACAAATATTATTGGTTTGGGTGAGGTGACAGACTACAAAGATGGCTAGGCTGTGTCCCTGCCCTCGAAGAGTTCCCAGTCCAGACTGCATTCAGCAAGACAAACGTGCTGAGCGGAGTTTTTACAAGGGGTGGGAATATGGGGACACCAGGGCAGGGACCTCACCCTGTGAGCTGCCTTATAAACTCAAGGGCAGGGTCCGGGGCGCTGTGCCACTCTTCCTCGGCCTGATGCTGAGATGGCACTCCCAAGCGGCTGACATGAAAGCGGCATCATAAAAGGGTCGGCGTCATTAGGGTGATGAACCAGTTGGTGCGTGGACAGCCAGAGGGGATGAAAGACGCGGGGTGAAGACGCCCCGCGTACCCCTGGCTTGACTGGGCAGGGCTTCCCAGGGCCGATGAAAGCTGGAGGAACCGGGCTCAAAGTGTCTCTTCTTGCCTTTCCCGGGAGAAGCGGTGGACACGCTCCAAGGTCGGGAAGGCAGCAGTGGGGGGGCCCTTTCCCTCCAGAGTCCTGGGTGACCGGGTCCCCACCCAACTCAGACCCCTCTCAACCTTACAGAGGACGCGCACGAGTTGGAAGTTGCTATGGCAACGAGGCTCCGGGAAGATTGAGGAAAGCCAAGATCTACAGAGGCGACATCCTCCTGCACCCCCTTTCGCCCTACGGTTAAAGTGGCGCCCCCCACGCACAGGAACCGTCCCTGGGGCCCGGCCCCCGCGCGGAGACC